TTGCTATGCAGAAAAAACGGTTTCATTTCTGTTGGAAATTTTTCCTGCTGCTGGTAGCTACATTGCAGAATAGCGAAGCAACTTGAATTAGGTACAAGATTGTCTTCCCCGAACAGCCCGGATGGAACAGACGTTGCATCATCCCCTACCAACACCCGTGACTACATGAGGAACCGCAAAACGATTAGATCACCGCAAGTATATTTTGACTCGGAGTTCGAATCGACAGGAAGGCTGACTTCCGTTCTCCTCAGCGGCAAACATGGTGACCATTCAAAGTCGACAGAAACAAGTACAGAAAGACGCTGAAAATGCAACGAAGCACACCGGCTACTTATGGTACACGAAAAATCATCATCAACTATTATTTAATTCGAAATTCATTTGGAGAGCAGTATCGATTCTAGCGGCTCGCCTTGATCGCCGATAACCTATGGTGAAATCCTCTTCAACTACTTTCCTCCAGAGGTGCCACATCGACACGCGTTGTCGACAGGGGTTGCGAGCAAAACTCATCTTTCTGCGGCCTCCCTACACTGCTGAGATACAGACCGCTATCACTTCACTGAAATAACGCCTCTAGTGAGAATAACCTCTCAGCAGAGTTATATGAGGAAAGACGGCCAGAAGTCGTCAACCTCTTGAAGGAACCGCCTAACTATGCTTGGTCTGAAAAAGGGGCACAAGATTAAAGTGATGCGCGGTAGTTCTCGCTCTTCAAAAAGGATGACAAAAACCTGTCGAAAATACTGGGAATAAGGTTGACTGAAGTGGCTGGTAAAATTGTCGACACATCATTCAACCTAAAGTTTTTCAAGTCACCTTGACAAACGTACAAAACCAAATCAGGCTGGCTCCCTCGCTCGAGAATGGTGCATCTATTAGACCTTCGCGTTAAGTCACACGCTGGAATCCCACTACGGCGGCCAGCAGCCCACCACTATGCATGCATACATACATACATACAGACAGACAGACATTACTTCACAGACTTCTCACCAACGTTCCATTCAGTTCATTGAGATTCTCTTTGGCGCATCATTAAAATCAGCGGCCTTCCCTAGAAACTTCTGAACGTGGGGGCATACTACCGCAGGACATGAGCACGAGTCTGAACCGATGGCAAAATGAAGGACTTTTTGGCATTGCTTCAGCGTACGTCAGGGCTGCGTCCCCTCTTTGTTTTAATTTACTTCGTCACTGACTGGATCGTGAAAACAGCAATGACGGATGAGGGACTTCGCCGGCGTTGAAACTAGTCCTTACATCGGCATCATCTCATCTTACGACACTGTCTACATAATTATTGTCTCAACGATCTATGACGAAGAACAGCATTATCTTAAGCTAACACGCTGTCGTGGTTGCCAACAGTAGGCATCAACGCAGCAAAACGAAAATTTTCTCACAAAGAACAATTGAAAAATTCCATCCTTCTATCACTCCTCTGAGAGGAATCATTGCCTTCAAATATCTTAGCACTTCTATCCTTCCCTGTGGACAATCTAAAAAAGAAATTACTGCTAGGACCAAAACAATAGATGGGGTCTCCTGTGAAAATGACG